TGGCTGACCAGTCCCATAACGATCAGTTAGATATGGATTACGACTGAATTGATTGAATTCTCAAAGTATGTTTCAAAACCCAGGACCTGGATTCATTTTCTGTAAAGTAAATTTTTTGGTGCTGGTATTGCCTTTACTGCATTAAAATGGTTCGTTTATAATATAATAGTACTGTCCCTTTTTATTGAAGGTAAGACTTTGACCCAGTAGTGTTAAATAGATCCACCATTTTTTCTGAATCAAATAACCAGTGCGAGATCCCATTAGTGATTAATGAGTTTGCTACTAGCTATAAGGTTGCACTTTTAATATGCTGCGTCAATGTTTATACACGATATACATCCTGGAATATGCTGGCCCTTGTTACTGGTGTTTCATTCAGAAGTGGAATTCATTACCTTTAATTTTTCCTGATGCAAAACCTGATCCTTTATGATTTGGGACTTCATTTAAAGTGTACCTGTCCTGGTAATACAAGTTTATTTAAAATTTGAACCACATAAAATGTCTGCTAAATATTCCGTGATCAGAATCACTAGTCAATATATAGATTTGATGACCTGTTTAGAAGTGTCCCCAGTGTCACCAGTTTTCTGCATAGAGTTCTGAGATCTATATACCAACAACTGAGTGACACGAGCAGAACACACTCCCAAGTGGCGCTGCTCTGTCTCGTCAACCAAAACACTTGCTATGATTTTGTCCTGGTGCGTGCTAGAACATTATATTATGGTTTTGCTAGAAGATATGGATTTACTCCATTATAGCCCTATAATGGAGCCAGTGTGTTGGCATCAAAGGGGCAGGAATAACCATGAATGTAGGCAGGATCAGGGTGTCTGTGGGTTTTACAGTAACACGCATACACAGTGGGTTTCGGCAGTGCTGGTACTGCTGAGGAAGAGGTAACCGTTTGTTGTCTCATTAATCAATTGCAGAATGTCACTATGACAAATTACATATTCGCTGTATACGGTGATGTCCTTGTATGTTAAGACAGTGTCACTTTGAGTCTAGAAATAACTACAGTTGTTGCTCCCATGTTCTTGGACACAGGAGTTAGTACTCCTCTTCATCGTTAATTAGGACCCAACACCAAACCATGTGCAATGTCAGAGTCATAGTGACAGGTTTATTTATTGAAGAGATGTTGTGGTCACCAATACAGGTCCTGAGTTTGTTAGGCGATTCTAAGAACCTATGTTGCAGCTTATACTTTGTAAAGGGGGTTTAAAGCACTGACTTAACTAGGTTAGTTATCATCTACAAGGTGTGTACAATACACTGACCTGCTAATCCCATACCTATTACATCTCAACTTTATATTCTTATCAGATAATTCTGTAAGAGAAATTGGCCAGGGACACTTACATGTAAAATGATACAATTGGATTAATTAAGACTATTTTTTAATGTCTTCTCACTTAAAAATAAAATCCCAGATCTTCCCAGAATTCTTTCCCCAATCCAGTACACCTCTTGCTGCTAGAAAAAAATGGCTGTTTATTGGAAACTGTGCAATCAAACATTGTTTGCCAAAACTGCTCCAACCTCTGTTAATAATCTGATTGCTACACAATCCTCCAACCACTCTTTAATTTGTCTTATGCAGTAAAATGATGGCCTTAAAGTCTGTGAATAAAGAAAGCTGACCTTACAGGCTGCACCCGGCCAACATACTTCCTTTTTACAAACCCATGTGACAAGGCACAGGTCATCACATATTAGACCTCTGGCTGTCCATGCGCACCTATAATCCTTTCACAACCACAACAGACAGAAGTTGTAGGTGGCTGGTAAGGGTACAAGGAAGCTTTCTAACAGTGGTTCCCAACCCAGTCCTCAAGTACCCCTAACAGTCAGGAAGTTGGGGATTGCCCAGCTGTGTTTTTAGAAAAAGAAAAAAACATGTTGGACACAACAAGGTAATCTCTAAATCATGGATTGATAGGGGGTACTTGAGGACTGGGTTGGGAACCCCTGCTCTGACAAGTTGTACTAAAAAAAAATAATCCTTCCTGTAAATGCATAAATATCATATTATTGTTAAAATAGATCATATTACCCAGCAGTCCCAGATCTGGTGACCGTTCTGAATCAATAAAACCATGGTGTGGTGCTTCTTTGGACACAAAATAGAATCCACAAGGTACAGCGCAAATGTGTCATAGAACATGTTAGTGGTTATTTAGCTCATATCTGCATATACGAGGGCAATTTATCAATGCTGCATTCATAGGGCACGAACATTCGCTTTAATCGCCAGCTGTCTAGTTTCACACAGCTGAATTTATTAGAAAAGCCCCTGATGGGTCATATCCATCCCACAGCGCTCATGTCAGACAGTAATAGTCGAATACTACAATACGTTTTGCAAAACAAGACAGTTCTGTTTATATTTCCCCGGCCTGATAGAAGAAATTATTCTAAGGCAATAACTAAATTTAAAAAATAAGTCAAAAAGTCCTGGGAGGGAGAGTGGAAATATTATTGGTCGTATGTATTTATGCTTCGTTTTAAATTGGCTCTCAAAGCACCATAGCCACTACAATATGTTGTAGTTTTTATGGTGGTAGACATATTACTGCATTTCTTTTGGCTGTTGCCCAGCAGCTTGGTTAGACACTTTTCTGAACCTTCTCCTGTTTGTATTTGTTAGGTGTTATGTTTTGAACCAACATCGAGGATGCTACTAATAATACTTGATTAACACTAACATTAGCCATACAAGATAAGCAGAGTTAAGAACTAAACTGTGAAATTGTGGCCACGGAGCAGGGAATTGCAATTTTTATTTCAAAGTAGCCAAGTTCAGGGGAAAAATATGGAGTGGAATAAAACAATTTACAGTTTTGAGTATTTATGGCTTATAATTTGTCAATTCCGTGGTCCATTCCAGACAGGATAATCCCATTTTAGTGGATTTACTAAAAGTTGTAAAAGTAGATCAATCCCAATTTGAGGTTTCAGCTGATTGATCCAGCTTTAGAAAGTGGCTTTAGAAAGATTCTTTAAGGTCCTAGACCTACATCATCCTGAACACTAACAGAGTAGGCCATTAACATACAAGACACAAAAAAAAAAAAAAAGTTTCTGCCGATTAGTCCAAATCAAAAATCCTTGTAATCCTCAACCAAAAAAAAAATCTAATCGCCTAGGATAAGACGTCACTGGTAAATCCCAGATTAATCTCTTCGTTTGGGTGCAGAGTTAAAAGGATTTTGATTCTTTTAAAAAAAATTTAAAAAAGGCTAAAACGCATTTTTGCACAAGTCTAGTACACTAATAAAATGTCTTAATTCTAAGAGATATTGATTAATAAATAGTGAGAGTAGAACACTGGAGATATATTACTTTTTGCCATGAAGTGGCATGTTTGTATTTTTCTGCTACCCTTCCACGATTCTTTCTAAATGTATACAGTTGTTTGGCATTTGAAGACTGTACAGGAGTAAACATGAAACGGCAAAATGCATCCTTGCGCTTGCTGAAGCACAACTACCTCGGAATGTTTATTAAAGCAGTATCAATGGTTCAGTGTGCTTGTTTCTCTCTTCTCAGCACCGAGACCCCAGTATGCTAACCCTTATCACCCACCAAGTCTTGGAATATTTCAGATCTCTGTATAATTCCTAAAATAAAACAAATGCATGTTTCAGGCTGTAGTGGATGGAAGATCAACTTAATGTATGTATTTAATTATAGCGCCATAAATAAAATGGCAAATACGCTCGATTAACATTCCTTCAATAACACAGGCCCCAACCCATCCTCTCTCCCCGCTTTTGAGAAGATGGTTGAGGATGCTACTCAATTTGTGGCCCAAACATTCTAATGAAATTCTAATGGCAGATGCTGCCAGAGTTGTTGTTGGTAAATGTTTCTACGGAGTAACTATCTGTGCTTTGCAGCAATGGCACATGATGGTGAAACAAATTAAAAGATGTTTGTTGGGAACCTTTTTCTTTGTTTTTCTTTGTGAATGTACTTTTAAGGTTTTTTTTTGTTTTGTTTTTTAGTTATATTATATTGTAACAATTATATTTCAGTAACAATGAAATAAGTATACAACATAAATATTACACTAAACAGATAAAATGAAAATCTGGAAGGGGGTCTATATTATTTTATAAACAATAGAATCAATCCCATCAGACATATTATACAAGTATTCTTAAAATTGTCTACAATATTTGACCATACATCAATAAAGTCTGCGAGGAAAATTTCCATTTGGTTATTAAGTATTGTATTTTTCTTTATCGATTCCCCCTACAACCCCCCTGTGGATTCCACACCTTTCCTAATGTTGCACATATTGTAGACTATTTTGTCATGTTCATAGCCCTTATTTTCAATAATATCTCTTTTTTACTTGGTACAGTAGGGGATTTCTAATATCTTAGGATAGTGGAAGTAGCTGCAATTAGTATGTCGGATTATGGAAAATTGTTTCATACTTACCGTAATTTTCTTTTCTTGATAATTTATTCATGGCAGCATTTACTCATGGGTTAGCTCCTCCCCTTAGAGCAGAAAGGACAGGAAACAGAACTTTGAAACTGGTATAAATAGATCCTCCCCCTTCCCATCAGGCAGTCTTTGTTATCTAGCTTTACAACTCCTATAGTATATGGGTGGGAACGTAATGCTGCCATGAATAATGATCAGAAAAAGAAAATTACGGCAAGTATGAAACAATTTTCCATATTCCTGATCAATCATGGCAGCATTTACTCATGGGGAATACCCAAGCAGTATATATCGAGGGAGGGACAGCGTTCAAAAACAGCTAATAGCTATAAAACCATTATTGAGCTGTGTAAATCTTAGAAGACTTTACAAAACCAAACAAGAATTAATAGGAAATTGTCATAAATCTGCTCAGACAAGTTAATTTACCCTAGTGGCTGCAAGGTCAGCTACCTCCTGGCATTCAATATCTGAAATACCCCAAATAAATATAGAGCCAAATAGCCTAGTCTAGAGAAGGAACCCATCTTGTGATGGATTAAAAAAAATAAAAATAAATGTAGAGAACCTCTCTGAAACCCAGACACGGTCTAGAAATGATAGATATATTATGTCAACAAGAAAGGATAATGTGCTTCTCTGATATAAAATTTAAAACCAAATGGATGGCATCAAATCAGAACCTTGACAAAGGCCTAACTTCCAGAGATCATACTGGAACAAGCAGATAATGTTGGATGAGAACGGACACACCATGCTATTAAACACGGGGAGAATTACACTGAGAATCCCACTATTTTCTGGATATATTTATTAAAGACAATTCACATTGCGTCCTCTTACCTAGTGAACTGCTTACCTGTAGATACAGGAAACAAATCAATATCTGCCTGTCAGAAAGAGGCAGAGACTAGTAGAGAAATAAGAGCTGGTTATAAAAACACTGCAACAATGAATATCTATATTTCAAAATCAGACTCACAACAATACCACACACTGTGGATGAATTGATACAGCAATGATCAGTTACAGGAGAGGTATAAACCAATAACATTACTAGGCAAAGGCAAAAAGAATCATATCCAGATTAGTTGAGAAAAATAAATTATATATCTATCTCTCTCGGTATGAACCGTAGAATTTGTGGCAACTACTAAATTCTAAGTAGGCAATGTAGGCCAACCACGTCAGTACCTACATTCAAAGATAAACATATTGTAAATAGTACAGATTATGCCAAACCGTACAATCAAATTTATTAGAGACTGTTGTGCAACATGAGTATGAGATATGCAATAGGCACATTATACATTGTGGCAACAGACACATAATAAGCAGGATAGTAGAAGATATTCAGTTATCCTTCTGAGAACAACAACCGCATAATTACTCTTACCTTATCTTCAGATAGTGATGAAGTACTTATGGCAGAGCCTATGGTGATAATAAGCAGCTTGTTATATCAGCAAGATATCAACACCAATCCAAGTTTATAATCCACTAGTATTAAATCAATGCAATGTTAGGAGTGACTATAACTTATACAGATCTAGGTACAGAGACCCTGTAAAACAGATCAGTCAAATGTTTGTCATCAACAAGCTGCATTACCTTATATAATATTATATCATGAAGGATGAATCAACCATTTAAAGCCCATATTGGTTGCAATTCCAGATATAAGGACACCTAGAAGAATCCCCATGAATATCAGAAGAGAGGTCCGTAATGGAACTACCTGTTCAGGGATTTCCTCTATTGTTCAGGTAGCAGGTGAATTTTACCTGAGATAGTAAACCTGGTAGAATGGTCTGGGGACTGGAAAGACCTTCCAATGTCAATTAAAATACTTGCAATACACAATATCAAAGTTACCTGGAGCATATGAGCCTAAAAGAATACCTTTTATTGCAGAAAGGAAATTATAATGTTCCCCTTCACAACAGGGGAATCGATCAGAAGTTTCTGATCATTAACTCCTTAACCAAAAGCATGCCACTCCTGACATACTAAACGGGATTGCCAAACTTTCAGGTCCCCAAGGGATAAAAGAGAATACTGAATAAAAAGTATAAACCAGACCAGGAGTAGTGAATTTTTCAGAGCAGAAGCTTGCAGAAAATACAATGATACTAAAGTTCTGACCAGGTGAAAGAAAAAGCCAATATTAAAAGCTTTTAAATCGGGTAAATTAGATTATAGAAAGAAAAGAAATATACCAGAGAAAACAGTCAGGTAATTGTTTCAGCGTTACCTAGTTAGGAGATCAATAAATAGCCCAATTTGTGCTCCTGCAACCAGCAAAATCTACTAAGCTGTGAATCAGCAATCAGCACGATCTACTAAGCTGTGCATCAGCAATCAGCATGATCTACTAAGCTGTGCATTAGCAATCAGCACGATCTACTAAGCTGTGCATCAGCAATCAGCACGATCTACTAAGCTGTGCATCAGTAATCAACATGATCTACTAAGCTGTGCATCAATAATCAGCATGATCTACTAAGCTGTGCATCAATAATCAGCATGATCTACTAAGCTGTGCATCAGTAATCAGCATGATCTACTAAGCTGTGCATCAGCAATCAGCACGATCTACTAAGCTGTGCATCAGTAATCAGCACGATCTACTAAGCTGTGCATTAGTAATCAGCATGATCTACTAAGCTGTGCATCAGCAATCAGCACAATCTACTAAGCTGTGCATCAGCAGTCAGCACGATCTACTAAGCTGTGCATCAGCAATCAGCACGATCTACTAAGCTGTGCATCAGCAATCAGCATATATCTGAAGGTTAACACTGCCACCAATTGAAGAAACATTCCCTATCTTGTAGAGAGAGGAGATGATATCTGGCAATAGAAACCCTTATGTAGAATGGTCTCATGTATAATTACATAGGAGTGCACACAAAAAACAACATTGATTATGTTAAACATTACCATGCTCCACTTTGGAAATCAGATCTCCTTCTCTCCTGGGAGAGGCGCTCAGACAGGTTCAGTAACACCTGTGGTAAAATGTGTTAATTGCTTATCCTGAAACACCTGTGGGAGAAGGAATCTAATACAAAGCCAAGAGCAGTTTGTTTCCTTATCTACTTCATTTAAAAAACTGAAATAGAAAATCCACAGTAGGCAATAATTAATTACCCAGTAGAACAGTGCATTTGTATTTGCTAGAACTGGGCAGTGCTACATTTCAGCGCAAAACAGACATTAGATTATTTGTATATATTAAATCTACCAATGCCGTGTATAAATTGGGGTTATATAATACTACCAACATGCATACAGATTATATGAATCACATACATTGTGGATGTTTCTAACAGCACCTTATGCCCAGATATATCAGTCACATATACAGAGTCTGTTTAAACAGTAATCATACATAGCCTACATCTGCCATATACAGTGACACTATGCCTGTACACATATTAAGATTATATGAGTGAGATAAATTGAGGCTGTGTTTTAACAGAACTTCATTCACATAATATACCACTCACATATACTGAGGTAGTGACTCACAACCCACACATAGAACCAGTATTAGATTGGACTCATATAGCGGATGTACTTATATAATTCACATATATTGTGTTTCCACTAATACATCAATCATATAGAGAACAGATACACTGAAGCAATGTCTCCACACCACCTTACATATAGAGCATGTAGAGGGCATATACTGAGGCTGTGTTTTCACAGCAACACAGAGCATATAAAGAACACAAACTGAGGAAGAGTCTTCAGATCAACTCATACACATACAATATAGTGGGTACCTATACTGAGGTGATGTCCTCATAGAATTCATACATAGAAACATAGAAACATAGAATGTGACGGCAGATAAGAACCATTCAGCCCATCTAGTCTGCCCAATTTTCTAAATACTTTCATTAGTCCCTAGTCTTATCTTATAGTTAGGATAGCCTTATGCCTATCCCACGCATGCTTAAACTCCTTTACTGTGTTATACTGAGGCAGCACCCTCATTGTAGCTCATACACAGAGCCTATAGTGGATACCTATACTGAGGCTGTGTCCTCACGGTAACTCATTCATAGAGCATATAGTGGGTACACATACTGAGGCTGTGTCCTCATAGTAACTCATACATAGAGCATATAGTGGGTACATATACTGAGGCCGTGTCCTCATAGTAACTCATACATAGAGCATATAGTGGGTACATATACTGAGGCCGTGTCCTCATAGTAACTCATACATAGAGCATATAGTGGGTACATATACTGAGGCTGTGTCCTCATACTAACTCATACATAGAGCATATAGTGGATACATATACTAAGGCTGTGTCTCCATAGTAACTCATACATAGAGCATATAGTGGGTACATATACTGAGGCTGT